CCCCCCCTCCCCGAGGCACACATGGTGCCTCAGGGCCCTCCCGCCCCACCCCGCCTGAGGCACGCACGGTGCCTGCCTCGAGTTCTGCCCCCCCTGCCCGACGCCGTGATTGTTAATGATCACGATAGATTCATAATAAAAAGAAGACAAGAACAAAAACTGAGTTGGGCAGAGAGTAATTCAAACCTTTCACAATGAACCAAGGTCTTGTTTTATCCCATCAATCTGCATGTGTGGATCTGAGTAGCGTCACAAATTAATCAAGAAAAAAGAGATTAGAAAAGGAACACTTATAAAATCAAGGAACGAGCAGAAGACATCCTTAAGGAATTTATCACATTTAAAATGATCCGGGAAATTGGATGGATTTTAATCCATGTTGAGCAATGAAACTCAAGAAAATCATCAGAAAGCTTACTGATCATGGTAAAAGGGCAATGAATTAAAACAGAGTTAACCACCCCTGTGCCTCTTTCTGATTCAAGCTTTGCAGATAAAACAAATCAGATGGTGCTATTAATGTGGACATCAGGAATGGGAAAAATAGTACTCTTAGCTCGCAATCTAAAGTTTAAATGATAAAAAGGTTTTGGGGGGATAGCAGGCCAATCAAATGAAGAATGATCGGTTGCATGTACAAAAACAAGAAGAATGCACTCATAAGAACTATTAAGAAGTAACCGAATGATTCAAACTACATATGCATCATATCTCTCATGTGCAACAGAATTTGGAGTCCCACAAGTGGTATAGTCAGCCCTGACTCTCTGTTAGAGATTTGAGTAAATTCCCAAAGTCAGAAACTTCTAATTTCCCAACAGATTTTCCAATCATCAATTGCATCAATGTATTGTTGAATGTTTTTTAGGGAGGAGAGGTTTAGGTTATGTTTGAAGCAAAGCAAAATTCCAAGTAGTAACAAGAGAGAGTTAACAAATTATTCAATTAATCGATTAATCAACTAAGCTCCCAACCCTAGTTAAAAGATTAAGATAGGTAATAATCTTCACAAGAGATTTTCCAATCTGCGATCTTGGTGGTAAAAACCTTTGCTGTCACAGTGAGCAATAGCAAGCTATAATCTTGAAGCAAAGCAAAATTCTATGTTTCAAGCTAAATGATTGACTCAAAAGGCAAGGCCGAATTTTTTTTTTGTTCTTGTTGTTGCATACACTTAAGAGCAAAAGAGACCTAAACAAACCCCAAAATATCAACTTTACCTGAAAAGCTAGCCAAACCATAGTTTCTAAATATGTTTTACAGATGTATGTCTAGGTTGATTTAGGTTGAAGAATCACAAAACAAAGGGAAAAATGAAAAAGAACAATCTCATATGTTGCATCGATCATGAGAATTACTATTGGTAGTTGTTGGTGTCTACTATTGCACTGCAATATGCACAACTCTCTGCTTAGCTATGCTAGAAATTAAGGTTTGACTGTGGCACTTCATCCCTTATGTAGTCATTTGTCCCAGTGTTTCTTCACTGACGTTATCATGTGCCTTGATTATGTTACAACAACAGCATACGTACTTTCACAAATAGGATCTGGGAAACACAAACCTTACTCTACACATGGATTGTTTTAGAGGTCTTCAAAGCAGGGTTGCAAGAAATTATTATGACATAAAAATCACCATACAAAGCAGATGATGTAACAAACACATTGAAGAATAAAATTTCCTTTTATATTTGACAATGCTTGAATATCTACTAACTTTCTATTATAATTCTTGGCCTTCATATCTTCTTATCTAAGCTTATGTTAATCACTTCTCGAAATTCTTTTTTAATCTCTCTTAACCGTTGCTATACTTACAGCTACTGTTCAAATTTCCAAATCATCTAACTTGATTCCCTACATATTTTCAGGCTGGAACAATAGTTAAGAGATTAAGGTAGATAATAATCTTCACAACAGATTTTCCTATCAGCAATCTCGGTGGTAAACACCCATGAGCAATTGCAAGCTATAATCTTGAAGCAAAGCAAAATTCTATGTTTCAAGCTAAATGATCCATAAACTGATAAACCTACTTCCCAATTCCTACCAGTTGATTTCGAGGTTACATATAAATTATTCAAATAATCCATCAATCAACTAAACCCCCAACCCTAAGTCAGAGGAAAAAGTACCTGAATAAGAGCAGTGGCCTCCGGACGGGATTCAAGAAGCATACCAAATTCTCTCCTCATTTGCCTCGATCACAACCACCTCCCTCTTGTTTCTCAGCAATTTTACTCTCACCACCTTCATCTTCGCCATTGTCTGCTGCATGCATACACACACAAAAACTTGATTTCTTTTATTCCAAGAAGAAGTAAAATTGAGAGGAGAATTGGGAAATTCACCATTTTAGAGAAACTGAAGATGTTGTGCAGAAGAGAGAAATTCACCCATGAGGAGCGTGTGTGTGAGAATATTCGGTAGTGAAGAAGAGAAGAGAGTTTTGTATGTGTGAGTTGTAACGGTCGATTATTAGAATAATTTAAAAATGGATGATGTGGCGGTCTTTAATATAACAGTATCTTTATTTCTTTCTTTATAAAATGTTTTAATTTCCCTCTTCACTTTTTTTTTTCTCTTTTATTAATTTTTTTAATTTTAATCTTTTCAGTTTTAATCATGGAATCTAATTAGTGACATTGGCGACTATTTATTTTGAGATATTATTCTTTTAGAGCAAATTTAATGATATGCTTTGTGTAAATTAGTCAAGCTGAGTGAATTTGCTAGTAAAATTGATGGACATAAATTATACATAAAAGTACTTTATTGATTGATTTGTGTTTATATGAACTTGCTCAATCCTCCTATCATGACCTAAATTTTGTTCTCTTTTTATTCTGTTCTCCGCGATCTCTTGAAAAAGTTGTTATCAAAATGAAATAAATGGATATTCAAGAAAAGAAGCATTTATGGCTAAATGCATTTCATATTACATAATTTCCACTTTATCTGAAGTCATTTCCCTTTTTAAATGTTCTCTTTTAATTTCCTATAAATGTACAGAATCAAGAGGACTAGATTCAATGACTGGTGTATTTACCATCAGACAAATCAAAGCTGCCACATAATTTTGACGCTGCAAATAAAATCGGAGAAGGTGGTTTAAGTCTCCATGAAGTTAAGGTTCTCACTTTGTTCTGCAGAGGATATATGGCCCCTGAATACGCACTATGGGGCTACTTGACCTTCAAAGAAGATGTTTACAGTTTTGGAGTTCTTGCATTGAGATTGATGCTGAGAAAAGCAATATGACATATCGTCCCAATGAGAAATTTGTGTGCCTCCTAGATTGGGTAAGGACTCTTGATAACTGAATAGCACGATCATTTCATCTAAAAGTTTCATTCAGTCTTCAACACATGTGTGACATACGTAACACATTTGCATTTTATTAAATTTGATTGTATATTCAGGCCCTTGTTCTACAAAGGCAAGGAAAACTGAAGGAAGTAGTAGATGCAACATTGGGCAGTAATTTGAACGAGGACGAAGCTCTAAGGATGTTAAATGTAGCTTTGCTATGTACCAGAGGCCAGTCCATCTCCAGTACTTAGGCCAACCATATCTACTGTAGGCAACCATGTCTGAGTTTACTATGGAATCAAGATTCTATGATGATTAGGATCTTGTCAACTTTCAAGGGTTAAGAGACAAGTATGAAGATACGAACGAAAGCAAACCACTTACACATTCATCAAATACTATTACAACGAGAGATTGCTCTTACACTACCTCTACATCAGCTTAAATTCACACTATTTGCCTATATATAAATGTTCGTGAGACAATATTTTCTTGGTGGTTTATCAAACATAAGGTATTTTGTGTGCAACTGTTGTAATTATGAGGTGAATTGTACTGAGCATCCATTGCCAACTATATATAACATTTAAGACGTTTTGGATTGGAAACAAGTTATTTTCATTCTCTTTTTTTTTTAAAAAAAAAAACTAAAGCATAGGTGTCCCTAGTATAAAAACTTGCTCAACAGCACAGCCACTGATGAGGGGGGGATCTTCTCAATCTCATTCACACAGTAAATACAAATCACTAAGGTATCATCATACAAACATATCTAGATGACTGAATTTTCTATAGATATTATACACTTTGTAGGACTTTATTAATTGGATATGATAAAACTTCAATGGTGTATTTCAAAAATTATGCCGAGTAACTTCTTTTCTTAAATAAGTGAGAATTCTAAATGATTTTCTTTGTAGATATTATACACTATATAATAGGAAATAATCACCTAGTAGGATTTGACTGGATATAACAAAAACTAACTCTAAACAGAAATTGATCAAACACAACAATGATATATGTTCCTTTTACATTATTATTTCTACAATTGCAGTTTTACATTATTTTTTCTTTTCTCTCATCCCATTTTTTAGACTTTGATATATCATCAAAACTATATACTCCTATAATATAACTGAAAATCAGATAGCCGATGATCTCAAGTCTTGTCGCTCGCTGCCAAACAGAACCCAGAAACCATAGCTTCTAAATATTTCATCAACTGGTGTAAACGTTTCCCTCATGATCGGGATGCCAAAAACTATAAACATCGCAACTCGTGGATATTATTCTATCTTGTCCATACTCTTGGTAAAAAGTTTCCTATTTACGGAGGAATATGCTAAAACTGAGTGTCAATCTATAGTATATAACAGGGGAAAGAATTGTTTTGCTTATTATTAGGACAAGTAAGGAATATATATATACTAACATCAACCTTCAAAGTTGAAATATCGTAGTGGTTGAGTTTTCTATAGTATAAGGAAAAATAGAATAAAGGTTGTTCATATTGTTTAAGCAAAGAAAATAATATTCCTCCTTATCAAGCTAGCCCAAATACAAAGTTTTGTCTCCTAAGACAACAATATAAATAAACATAGTAAAAATCTTTGGAGAACATAATAAAAACAGTTTTCTCTATCCTTATTTAATTTCTGTTAGCAATTTAAAAACATAGTAATAATGGAGAGCCAGCTTTCCCATGATAATGAACAATTAGGGTCTCGAGATATTGAAAATCAATTTCCGAACCCTCCACCATCTGTTGGTAAGTTCACAACTATCTTTCTCTAGATAATGTAAACTAATGTACGTACATGGATGATATTTGAATGATAAAATTAAGATACTATATGTGATAATAAAATATGTTATACAATTTCATCCATAATGATAATACACAAAATTTATGTGTCTTAACAACTAATAATGAGTGAAATTAATTGCGTAAAGTGTATATAGTGACTTTTATTTTTTTTATAATTAGTATATTTGTTAAGGAAATATTTGCATACTTTATACATACACTTTAATATAAAGTTGTTTCCCCGTCTTTTACGCCACTTTAATTTGTGAATTTCCTCTAATGCCTAAGTTTATTTTCTTGTTATATATCATAACTATATATATATATATATATATATATATATATATATATATATATATATATATATATATATTGTATTTTTCAGCATATTAGAGCGAGGAAAAAATTGAAGAAGTGGTGTATCTGACTTGAAATGTGGTGTGAAATAATTAATTAGTGATACAATATATAATTATTTCAAACTATAGAGTGGATTAGTGAATATGGGTAGGAACTTTTGTGTCATTAGATAGTTTCTCCTTATTTTTATTTGAGTGGGTGGGTGGGTTGGGGTTGAAAATAAAATTAAGAGATACAATCATTAATTACTAATAAACTAAAGAGATTATTCCGGATATATAACGAGTGAATTTCAAGTCTAATGGAAATAAAAAATTCCATTTAACGTTCGTTCTTTCTCCTGGAAACTTGTTTATAAACCGTTTAGAAATTAGCTCAGTGTTGCGAGAACAATCAATTCCAGGAACTTGAATTTTTAATTTGATACTACTTTTTTAATTTTATATGTACATTCATATATTGAAAACAAATTAACAGTCATAATCCTTCAATATTAAGATCGGGATAAGACACAAGTATCCCCTAGACTATGACCCGAAATCACAGAGACACACCTAAACTTAACTAGGGTGCTATTACCACTCTAAACTAATTTAAAATGAAATGAATACACCACAAACGCTGACATGACATAAAGACTGTGCACTCTCTTGAAGTTGGCAAGGGTTGAGTTCACAAATTGGATACATGTCATTTTTTAATTGGTAACTTTATAATTAGTTAGTACACATATTTATTGATATATATATAATTATTTTTATTTCTTTCTTTATAAAATTTTTATTTTAATTTCTTTTCACTTTAATTTTTTTAATTAATTATTATCTTTTCACTTTTAATTATTTAAAAAAATATATGTGCATTTTTTTTTAAAAATAATTTAAAAGTGTCCTTTAATTTTAAAGTTTTATTTTTTTAATTATGTTTTATTTGACTTTTTCTTCACTTATTTTGATATCCTTTCAAAATTAACTTATTTTAAATACAAGACATTTGGAATCAAATCAAAACGAAAGACAAAGAAAATAAAACCAAAAGAAAAATAAAAGAGAAAAAACAATGAATGTAGGTAAAAAAAAAAAGTTCCAATACAAGGTAAAAAAATGTGTCTTTAACTTAATTTAAATACAAGATAAATAAAATAAGAATATTTTAAAAATAAAATTAATCTATTTAAGTTCTTTAAAAAAATTAAGAATTTTTTAATTAAAAAAAATAAAAATAATATTTACACACGTGGCGGACGAGTGTGTACAAACACAACCAACTTGGGTGGTTGAAGGTGTCATGTTAGCACAAAAGGTGCAAAAATATGAAAAAAATGAGCTTAGGATAATAGAACCTTAGTTAAGTTTAGATGTGTCTCTGAGATTTAGGTCATATGTCTTATCCCTATTAAGATCTAGAGACAATTTTATTATCAAGATTTTTTTTTTTTTAATGTTAATAAAAACATATGAGGACTTAACTATATTAAGGGACATATACTTAGATTCTTCAAAGTTGAAATACGCAATGGTTGAGTTTTCTGTAGAATAAAGGAAAAAACAGAATTTTTACTCTGTTGAGAATGGAATAAGAAAATGATATTCCTCCTAATTAAACTAGCCCAAATACAAAATCATTCTTTTTTGTTGTTGTCTCTCTAGACAGGAATATAATAAACACAGTGAAAAATCATTGAAGAATATAGTAAAAATAGTTTATTTTATTGTTGCTGCTCCAAGATGCATGCTTCTCTACCCTTATTTAGTTTTTGTTAGCAAATTAATTTGAAGACAAGAGCACATGACAATAATTGAAACTTTCTAGCCCAATAATATTTCTTAGTTACTAAATATCTTAAGGATTATGAGTTCATAAAACAGCATCAATTTAATTAAGTAATATATAATATTATTTAGTGCAAATTAAATGTCACCGGATTTTCATATATATAAATTGTTAGGGTTTTGTCATGATTTTTTTATTATAATTAAGTTTTATTTTTTCCTAAAAAAAAAAGTTAAAGTATTACCTATCATAAATGCTTTAACTTATTCTGGACAGAAAAATATAATTCTCTTCTACCCCTCTTCTAATATCAAAAACAACAATTAGCCAAACAATATTAGTTTTTTTTTTCATATGTAGGTCAATTAACCAAACAATATAATAATATTATGTTTTTAGTATAAGATTTTGTGTCCTAATCACTTTGGAACCCAACCAACAGATCGAATTCTTCTTAATGCTGCTTTGAGAGATAATTGGAGGCCTGCAGTAGCAATTCTAAAGAAGGAACCAAGATTTGTTAGTCTGAAAACAGAGGAAGGTGTATCATTATTTTTCGTTGCACTAGAAGCAAGAAGCATCCGATTTGTGCGAGAGGTAATGAAACTAATGGATGTAGGTGACTTGGAACAGAAAGATAACAATGGGAATACGGCATTTTACCATGCAGCATACGCAGGGTTGGTTGAGATTGCTAAAGTAATGGTAGAAAAGAATAAGAATCTACCAAACATCCGCAGTCAGGATGAAGAATTACCAATTACTGTGGCAGCTTCCATTGGGCATAAAGATATGGTATCATACCTTTTTGAGGTCACAAATTTTGATTTGTTACAGCAACAAGAACGCTTAAACCTTCTACATATCACTATCCAGAATGAAATGTATGGTAAGCTAGCTATAAAAATGATAAACACAAAGAAGTATCCTTTTTATACTTTTATCGCCAAGTTAATTCGATTTTATTATTGTGGCAGAGGTAGCATTAAAGATATTCAACAAGGACAGAAAATTAGCCACTAAAATGTTAGAAGACGGAAATATTAATGTCTTACACTCGTTATCTCAAAAGTCCATAGCGATCAGTAACGCTTCTTCTCCGGTGTGGAGAAAGTTTATTAGCGTGGGCAGGAGGCAATCCATTTCATGTAAGCTCAATGTTTCAATTAATTAAGTATTTTGTATGAATTAAGACAATCTTAATTAATATTTGATCCAAATGTAGTGCTAAAATTGCTTCCGGAAAGATATGTAGTTGAGAAACAAGCTGAGACACTACTTGAGGAGCTATGGGCGGAGTGTCAAAGAAGTGGAGCGGATAAGCTGATAGACCTAGTGGAAAAGGAAAAATTGGCCCATTCTGCTGCAAAAGCAGGGAATCTGGGGTTTTTACTTGTGGTTACTCGTGATCATCCTTGGCTCATATGTAAACCTGACGATAAAAGTCATACCATTCTCCATGATGCAGTTTTATATCGAGAGGAAAAAGTCTTCAGCCTTATACACCAAATAGGAGCATTAAAAAAATTGATTTTTGTAATGGTTGACAATGATGACAATAACATTCTACATTTGGCTGGAAAGTTAGGGGAGCCACACAAAAATGTCCAATCTAATGCTGTTAAGGTACTTCGCCTCTCTTTTTAAACTTCACCATACATGAAATATTATATAATCAAAAAGTTTCCTTGTTTGGGTTTATAAATTATCATTGTTTAAACCAATAGGAGGAGGGAGAGAAGATTATGCCGCCATCGTTTCTTAGGGTTTCTGGAGCAGCACTTCAGATGCAAAGAGAGATATTGTGGTTCAAGGTGAGAGTGAGATCAATCACCTAAAACTATATTTCACATTTCAAATCTCTGTCATTAAGTATGAATCAATTTTTAGCGTTCTTTGCTGATAATTACTATAATTGGCTAGGAAGTGGAGAAACTTGTACCTCCTTCCGTCCGCAAGAGGAGAAACAAGGATGGGAAAACCCCTAGAGAATTATTCACAGAAGAGCACAAGTTATTACTAAAAGATGGAGAAAAGTGGATGAAAGACACCGCAAATTCTTGTATGATTGTGGCAACTTTGATTGCCACAATGGTCTATGCTGCTGAATTCACTGTGCCAGGCGGTTATAACAGTGATAATGGCATTCCAATATTGCTAAAATTGTATGGATTTAGGATCTTTGTCATATCAGATGCAGTGGCACTATTCAGCTCAATCATTTCCATCATTATGTTCTTGTCCATTCTGACATCTCGCTATGCTGAAGATGACTTTCTTGTGTCATTGCCTGCTAAGTTATTATTTGGACTTACGGCGTTGTTTGTTTCGATTGTTAGCATGCTCGTGGCGTTTACAGCAACCTTCATTTTGAACTATAGAAAACATACGGGTTGGGAGCCAAAGCTCATTGTTGCTTGTGCTGGTGTTCCTGTGGCTTTATTTGGGTGTTTACAGTACAAACTATGGTTTGATGTGGCAAAATCGACATATTGGTCCAAGTTTCTTTTTAGATCGGGAAAGCACAAACGTGATTAACAACAGATCAACCTTCATTGCTGATCATAATGATTTCGTATCTTCTTATGGTCATCAGTAAAATAATACAGTGCAAAAACATTATACATTCTTATTGTAATGTTTGTTTTTGAAACTTGAGAGAATTTTTCCATCAATGCTATTTGAGATTGGTAATAATTAATTGGTTTAGCACATCATTTACTTCAGTGTATAGTAGCTTATGCTCTAAAACAGGGCAAAAAATCGTATGTATGTAAGTGACAAAATCTGGCATCATGACACTTGCCTCGACACTAAACAATTGTCTTCCGATCCATATATCCAGTAGTATTTACCCTGCGAAGTAACTGTAGAATCAATATAGAGGTGACAAATTATGCAACATCCTACTGTTCACCTTGTATGCCTAAGATACTTAGAACAAAACTTTGAAGAACTTGGTAAGAAACAACAAAGTTTAAAGAATATTTTCAAACTAGAGAATTAAAACTAGTAGAGAAATAGAATCAGAAACAATATAAAAATATTTTTCTCAAAGAAAGAAAATCGAGCCCATTGAATGCACAGTGTCCCCTTAAGGAAATTATTCCCCTCAAGTACTCGAGGTTAATGAAATATATCCTCCCAGGATAGAATGATCTTACTCACCGGTGTATCGGTACCTAAAACCACGGTGTCAGCGAACCACTTAACGACAGTAAATGTCACGCCCCGAGCCTACACCCTGGGCGGGACCGGCACCCGGAGACCATTTCTGGTCCCAAGCGAACCCTTGGCCTGACTTTCTTAACTCAGCGGAAACCTACCCAACAGAATAACTCAATGCAATGCAATATTACAAAACAACTTAACTTATAAAATATGGCCATAAAGGCAACTCGAATCTCAAATTAGAATATTTACATATATACATAGATGAGAGACTTAAAACTAACTGACTGACTGTTTGTCTATGAAGCCTCTAAAATACTGAGATGGATGTTGGGACAGACCCCGCAACATCCTAATAAAACAAAAACTAAGAACATAAAATAATTGAGTCCTCCGAAATGCAAGGAGGCTCACCACTGACTCTGGAGTGCTCAGCTGGATCAACGACGTGCAGGATGTTGATCCGGGGTACCTGTATCTGCATCATAAGACGATGCAGGCCAACTGGCATCAGTACATGGAATGTACGAGTATGCGAACTGGAAAACTAAGCAACATAGGCTAGAAGGAAATTTGGAAGAAACTGAAAAGTTTACCTTGCTCAACTCAACTCAACCTGACTGACTTCTTTCAATATAAGGCAATTTAAAACAAGTGCGATATAAAGAAAGACTGTTTAAAACATGCTATAAACTCTGTGTGTATACAAGGATACAATAAGCCTGAGATGTATATAGAAATACAATTGAACTGATGTATATAAAATACAATAATTTCTGTGTATAAAAATATAATAACTGCTGTGGGAGTTTATCTAACCGATAACCATCACATAAGAGCTATAGTGATGATACAGCGATCGAGCTCACGCTGCCAGAGCATCTTATACCCGGCCAAAGGTATAAGACCTGAACTGCCTAATGGATTCACTAGTCTAATATGAAAAGGATTCATCTAAAAAGTATGATCTTTTTCTACCCATGGTGGCTAACATGGTTCTATGGGGGCTGTGGGTTCTTTGAACGCTCCCCCAATTCGGTGCTCGATACTACTCCCAAAAATGTACTGGCTCTTATGTTTTTAAAACATATGTCTTCCTGCTGATTGAGATAATTACTCAGAAAAAACTATCCCGAAGGCTCTTTGGAAATCTCAGTTTCCAACTTTATTTAAATGTAAAGACATTTCTTTAAAACTTCTTTGGGAATACATAGTTCCCTAATAAATTTGAGAAATGAACTCAACTTTAAACTCTTTACTTTACTTGAACTCTTGGCTTGATGTGAAACTCTTAACTTAACATGAAACTCTTAGCTTTTGACTTGACTTGAAACTCGAGTCTTAAAAGAATGAAGCTAAAACATTCACTAAAGACTCTTGAACAACTTTGAAAACTTGCTTTGACTTACTTCACTTCTAAGCTTAACTCTTAACTTCACTTGACTTCTAACTTTACTTGACTTGGAACTAACTCTCCTTGAATTTGATTATGAATTCAAGGGTAATGATTTGTGTTTGGAAGGACCCCATGATGATTATGAATAATTTAGGACAACTAAACTTAAGAAGAATTTCGAAATTTAATTCTGAAAACAGATCAGATTTTGTTCACAGAGGGAACACAGCCGCAACACAGACTTGTTTCCTGAAAGCAGCCTGACTTTTCTCCTTCATGTTGCCAACTCTAAACCCTCTTAACTTCAAAAGTTCTTTTCCCAAACACTTGGGGTCATAAACCCCTCAACATACAGTGGATTCCACTAAAAAACACAACCAAATTCTGTCCCAAATCAGCAAGAACTTCAACAACACAACCAACAACTTCAACAACCAAAATAAATCTTTTCTTGGAATTAAAAACGAGTTGGTGTGTGGGGGTATGAACCAACCAACACTAAGGATCATAAAATCCCTCAACATACAAGAGATTACAACTCAAATACACAACCCAATCATGTCCCACAACTAACAATAACTTCAACAACACAACTAACAACATCAATAACAACTAACAACTTCAACAACTTCAACAACAATTCCAATCTTTTCTCAAATCATAAAAATGAGCTTGGTGTGTGGGGGGAAAGGATCACCCAACACTAAGAACTCACATACCTATTAGGGATCACCCCCGACGATCTTTGACGGAAACTCCTTGATCTCCTCTTCTTCTTCTCTTCTTTCTCTCTTCTTCTCTTCTTCACTCAAGAACCCTAACTCTTACTCTTTTAAAATGGAACAAAAATGATCCACAATCAGCCTAACACAACAATATAACCTCAAAAGAAATGATTTGTGAAAAGACCAAAATGCCCTTAAATTTCCGGACGGACTCCCTGCCAACTGCCCAACTTTCAAAGGACATAACTCGCTCATACGAACTCGGAATCGAGAAAACTCGGTGGCGTTGGAAAGATCGTTCCAAGGGCTTTCCAAAAATAACTGGAAATACTCCTGGATCATTCTTATCTTGGAGTTATGACTGCTCAAAGTTGGCCAAAAACTCACTGATTTCCACACTTAGCCAAATTTCCAGATTCTGAACTTAGCCAAATTTCCAAAAATGACTACTTCCAATTTCATGCTTCATATTCATTCTAAATTGTCGGATGTTACAGTAAAGTACACTTAGAATACTAGATTTAATAGTAGTAGTAGAAGAAGTCCAGAAAGATTAGTTCTTTCAACTAAAATGGTAGGAAATCCCTCAATTTATAGAAAACAAAGGGTAGTGTGAAAAGGTTCTTATTGTGCCTTACCGGAAAGGTCACAAACCTTTGGAAAAATTACAATCTTTCGGAAAGGTCACAACCTTTCATAAAGTCACAACTTTTCATAAAAGTCGCAACTTTTCATAAAAGTCACAATTCTTCATAAAAGTCGCAACTTTTCATCTTTTCATAAAAGTCGCAACTCTTCATAAAAGTCGCAACTTTTCATAAAAGTCACAACTTTTATAAAAGTCACAACTCTTCATTTTCCATTCACACCTTTTAAAACCCAACACATCCTAACCAACAACGAGAAGTTATCACATTTCTTGCTTCGTCAGTGCTAATATTGCCTTTATGAGATGTTTGCCAAAAATGTCAACCTAAATGTCCTTTGATCACTTCTGGTTAGTTGTGGCGACGTTGCATTTAATGACGAAGAAATGAAGACACAGAGGAATCGAACATAAAAGGATTAATATTTATTTGCTGAACACTATTTTCCATATTTTTTGTTCCATATATATATATATATATACTGTTTGAGGCAATAAAACATTGTTCTAAAAATTATATATCTTGAATGTCAAAAATTACAAGACACATTGTACAAGTATTTTGAGCCTTATTTGCAAACTAGGCAGATTCAACATAGAGGCAAGTTGGTTGGGGTATTGAAGAAGACTGTAACTGAGCAGGAGCTTCATCTTCATTTTTTTTCCTACTCTTCAAACTTCTCAATGTAATCGCTTCATTGGAATAGCCATACCCTTGAGTATGTTCATTGAAATTGTGTGGTGTGTTGAAGATCGCCCCTGAACTGTTTTGACGAATCCTGAAAAATATTAACAAGATGAGATGAATTATATTGAGCGTTGTCATTGTCTAAAGAGATCTTTTATTAAATCTATGATAGATGAAACTATTTATCATTTTTCTCATTTTCAAAGAACATGAGAAAATATTTCCACTAATCAAACATAAAATAATTGAAAACCATATGTTTCCTCCGTACCGAACACACTCATATAATATGTAAACTAATGTGATTGAAAATGGGAGATACAATATTACTAATTAATATATTGATGATAATTTGGAGAATAAAAGAGAGAAAACATGCCTATCTAATCCTTGATTGTTTGGATCAATTTCTTTGCCAAATGGTTGGTATCTTGAGCTTGTCCTATTAGGTGACCTTCTTATAGGACCTCCATTCCTACTGCTAAACCAAAATGACAAAACAAAATTTACTTACATCTAAGAATTGATTAAAGAAAAGTTTGAAAATATGTAATAAAAAAATAATAATTGGCAATATCATCAATAACATATATATTTTTGAAATTAAAATAGGGAAAGGAAAATAAACCTTGTATTTTGTGGGAATTCATTATCCAAGGAACTCAAAATTCCATTTTGCTGTTCAACCATCAACTTAGACTTGATGGAGTGATTTTGTAATTTCTCACTAGTATTATCTTTGCATCCCATGAAATATATATAAGATAACGAATATTCATCAACGGTAATCGGATAAGTTATTTTCGAAGAATTCTTATCCGTTGATGAATAACCAGAGATGTTGGTGGTGGTCATAGCTAATTCTGAAATATCCTCAGAATTTTGTATTGAGGTGCTAGGAATAACGTTGGTGTTCATGGGTTGCGCTTGAGTTAAATCAAATATTTTTGATAAGCCTGCTTCTTCACCAAAATCAAATTCATTGTCCCATGGTATAGTAGAGGAATAAAGATTTTGATTATCAATATCTATGTAATTGTTTGGAAATTCATCCATGGTTACTAATATGTATAAAAAAAAAAAAACAAATCATGTGTGAACAAGGTAAGAAACAAAGGTATTTTCAAAACTAGAAAACTAAACCAGTAAAAAAAAAATATAATCAGAAAAAGAGAAGCTAATAGAATATATACTCACAAGATGGAATGATCTTACTCACCGGTGTATCGATACCTAAAATCACGGTGTCAGCGAACCACTCAACAACAATAAATTACACTTAAGAATACTAGATTTAGTAGTAGACGAAAAAATCCAGAAATTCGTTGTTGTAAAATAAGATGAAATCCATATATTTATAGACAACAAAAGGTAATGTGAACAACTATGCCTTAACGGAAAAGTCACAACCCTTCAAAAAAGTCATAACCTTATGAAAAAGTCGCAACTTTTCATAAAAATCACAACTCTTTAGAAAAAGCACAACTCTTTATAAAAGTCACAACTCTTCAGAAAAATCACAACTCTTCATAAAAGTCACAAGTACTCTTCAGAAAAATTACAACTCATCATTCCCTAGCATCTGTCATTCGAATTGGCCAAACTTGAAATCCGAAGTTGGGAGCCTAATACCTGAGCCTCCACTGGCTTATTACCTGGAGATAAAACAATGGATGGAAACCTACTAATATCCCATCCAAGAATTTGACAAATGACACTTGTCATTTTAATTTACGTAGATTTCATAATTGGATGAAATTTTAAAATTAACATATCTAGAGATGGGATCAATGACTGAATTTTCTATAAATATTATACACTAAAATAGGAAAATAACTAAAAATCACTTTGTAGGACTTTATTGGATATGATTGGAAATTTTTTTGTTGTATGTCAAAATTATGTTGAGGAACCTCTTTTCTTTTCTCAAATAAGCGAGAATTCTAAATGGTTTTGTTGATAGTATACACCAAAATAGGAAAAATAACTAATAATCACCTAGTAAGATTTGACTGGATATAACAAAAACTAACTCTTAACGGAATGATCAAACATAAAAGGATTAATATTTATAGAAGCCACTTTTTTGGTAATTTCATAGTTTTTGTTCCAAATACATATATATACTGCATGACTTAACAACCAACAAGATGCCATTCCAATCATGAAGAGCACTGGATACACATTGTATTTTGAGGCAATAAAACATTGTTCTAAAAATGATATTTCTTCAACGTCAAAATTACAAGGCCTTAGTGAAATGGATCCCAAGGCCAGTTGATATTGGAATAGCCATACCCTTGAGTATATTCATCGAAATTTTGTGGTATGTTAAATATCGACTCTGAACTGTTTTGACCAATCCTGAAAAATATTATTAACAAGATGAGATGAGTTATATTGAGCATTACTAATTAATATATTAATGATAATTTGGAGAATAAAAGAGAGAAATTAACATGCCTATATGATGATCCTTGATTGTTTGGATCAATTTCTTTCCCAAAGGGTTGGTATCTTGAACTTGTCCTATTAGGTGATCTTCTTATAGGACCTCCATTACTATTGCTAAACCAACATGACAAAAAACAAAATAATTGGCATATCTCAATAATTTATAAGTATATTTTTTGGAAATTAAAGGAAAAAAGGAAAATAAACCTTGTATTTTGTGGGAATTCATTATCCAAGGAACTCGAAACTCCATAGCCACCACTGCTAATTCCATTTTCTTGACCAACCATCAACTTAGACTTGATCAAATGACTTTCTAGTTTTTCCAGAGTTAGAATATGTGACATCGGTCGTTGGAGGATCATGTCATTAGTCTTATTATTTTCTTGCTCTTTCCAAGAATCAGTAGGCTGATTAGTGGTGAACTTTAATTTCAAGGACGACTCTCTTTCGAATTTATCCAAAATTGGGATTTTTGGTAGAGGTTGTTGAAGGATCATGTCATTTGTAGTTTCACCTTGTTTCTCCATAACAATAGGTATAGGGATAAAGGTTTTAGGATTAATTTCTTGATTTTTCAATCCCATGGAATATATGTACGATAATGAATAGTCATCATCGTCATCAAGGGTAATAGGATAAGTTATTCTCGAAGAATTCTTATCCGTTGATGAATGACTAGAGATGTTGGTGGTGTTCGTAGGAACAACATTAGGTAATTCTGAGGTGCTAGGAATAATGTTGGTGTTCAAATGCTGCTCTTGAGGCATATCAAATATTTTTGATAAGTCTACTTCTTCACCAAAATCAAATTTATTGGCCCATGGTATAGTAGAGGAATCAAGATAATCTTGATTATCACTATCCATGTAACTGCTTGGAGATTTATCCATGTTTATCAGTGTATATTAACAAATATAAAGTTTTCCATTGTTGTCTTACTTATATAATGAGACACTTGTCATTTTAATTTATGTACATTCCATATTTGGATGAATTTTTTGTAGATATTATACACTAAAATAGGAAAAATAACTAATAATTACTTAGGACTTGACTAGATATGACAAAACTCCAACGTACCCTCTCTGTTTTTCAAAATTATGCGGAGTAACTTTTTTTCTAAATAAGTGAGAATTTTAAATGATTTTTTTTAGATATTAAACACCAAACTAAGAAAATAGCTAATAATCACTTAGTAGGATTTGACTAGATATGACAAAAATTCAATCGATACCTCTCTGTATTTCAAAATTATGTCGAGTAACTTCCTTTCTCAAATTACTGATGATACTAAAATTTGAGTATTCTATTAAAATATTATTTGAAATTTATACAGATTTGGAAAAAATCTGAATACTATATTAAATTTATTACTTAAATTTTTATATAGATTATGATAGAAATATTGATCTATCAATGAAAAATTAGGTGCTCGAAAAAAATTGCGACGTAAATGTGATTTTTCATGTCATGTGTATTGCCAAATTGATCTGATAATAACGTCATATTTAACTCTATTCTGTAATAAATGGATGTCAACAAGAAAAAGATGTTTTAATTTTTCACACTTAATAAAACATATTACTATTCGGAATCTTTGTAGTCTAGTTGGCTGACTACCTGAACTTTCACCTTAATTTTTCACACTCAGTAAAACACAACAGTCTAATTCTACGTAGCGGAGACTATTGACAAACTGGAGTCTGATCTTTTTGAGTGTTGAAAGAGCATATGTCATGTTAATTCTTGCATCAGGTGTCACTACAGTGCAACTCAAAGCTAATTTCATGATAGATGACAAACAATGCATCTTTGCATCGATTTGTTCATCCCCTGGCTGTATCAAATTAGAATCCACCACCTTATGAATACCACTCGAAAAAGAATCATTAATCCAACATCGTATATTCATTTCTCCGGTAAATATTTCATCACTTGGTCTCCTTCTTGTGAACGTCTCCATCATCACGATGCCAAAACTATAAACATCGCAGCTTGTGGAGACTATTCCATCTTGTCCAAATTCTGCAATCATGGTAAAAGATTATCATAAAAAATTTCCTAGTAACCGAGGAACATGCTAAAACTGAGTACTAATCTATAATTACGATACCTGGAGCAATATATCCAATGGTTGCTATTGTCCTTGTTTGAACAAAATCTTCCCCTGCACCTAACAATTTTGCAATGCCAAAATCGCTGACATGGCCAACCATTTCTTGATCTAGTAAGACGTTGCTTGGCTTCAAGTCACAATGCACCACATGTGTTGAATAGCCATTGTGGAGATAGTCTATTGCAGATGCAACATCTATCATTATACTTAATCTCTGCAACATGTCTAAGAAAAAGTTGTGATTGTATAGCCATTTTTCAAGTGTCCCATTCGGCATATATTCTAATACCAAGGCTTTGAAGTGAAGGTTGGAGCAGCTGGTGATGACTTTTGTAAGATTTCGATGGCGGAGGTTGCGCAGCATCTCACATTCTGTATCAAAACTTTTGAATGCACCCTCCAATTGCACATTGAATACCTTTGCTGCCAAAAGAGTACCATCCTTAAGTATCCCTTTGAAAACCTTGCTGAAACTCCCACTACCAAGCAAGTTGCTTTCGTCGAATCCTTCTGTTGCTTGTTCAAGTTCATAGTAAGAAATTCTTTCATGTTTCCCTTTTACCGGAAAGACATCTGCTTGATCTGCATTCTTCTTTATCTTTCTCCATCTTAAAAATACATATGCGAGGGCTAATGCAAGAAATAGCATACCCACTCCCAAAAGGATGTACAAAACCAAGATTATCTTTTTTCTCTTTGACTTCTTCGGAGATTTGATGACGCATGGTGAAACATGAAACTTAGAGTCACCACAAAGGGCATAATTTTGCAAGAAAGATTGACTTGTGGCATTTGCAAAAGGACCACCCATGGGAACCTCTCCACTGAGTTCATTAAATGAGAAGTTCAAGTATTTGAGATACACGAGAGCTTCTAATGACTTTGGAATTTCACCGGTTAGATTGTTATTGCTCAAATCCAAGAATTCTAAGGCCAACATTTTGCCAAATGAATCTGGAATAGGCCCATCTAATTTATTATGTGCTAGAGAAAGTTTCATCAATCTATCCAGACCCCCTAGCGTGCTAGGGATCTTACCACTAAAATCATTTTTTGACAGATCAACTAGTGTTGCAACCTTTAAATTTCCAATCTCTATAGGAACTTTCCCACTTAATAAATTGGATGAAACATTGAATTTTATGAGATCTTGAAGAGTCCACAAGCTTGAAGGTAAGCTCCAGTTCAGCCTGTTGTTAGCTAGATAAAGATACCTCAAACTGGTAACGTTCCCTAAGCATGGTGGTATGGAACCAGAAGCTTGATTTTTTGACAAATCTAATGCTCCAAGTTTATTTAAATTGCACATAACATCTGGTATGGTTCCTTTTATCATGTTGCCACCTAAGTAAAGTTCTTGAAGGTTTGACAAGCCTTGGATGGTTTTTGGAATATATCCAGTCAACTCATTTTGTGACAAATCCATCTTTGTCAAACCGGTAAGATTGCCAATTTCTCCGGGAATGAAGCCTTTCAGTTTACAATACCATCCTTGGAAAATTTGCAGAGAATCAGAGAAATTTCCAATGGAGGCAGGCAAAAAACCGTCCAAGGGATTCTTGGAAAAAGTGATTTCTTTCAGTTTCCTACAGTTTGACAAAGATGTCAAGAAGCTCAATGCTGAATTGCTGACAAAATTATTTGCCCCTAAGTTCAAAACCTCAATGTATTCTAAGTCACTAATTGATTCAGGAATTGGGCCTGTGAAACTGTTATATGAGAGTTCAAGTACTCTGAGTCTTGAAGAATTTGAGATAGAAGGAGGGAGAAAACCACTCAAACTATTCTGATAACAATAGAATCCGTCTAGGTTGGGAATTCCATGACCTAAATCTGAAGGTAGAGTACCTGAAAGCCTGTTTTCTGCAATTCCTAAGATCTGCAGTGCTGACATGTTGAAAATGCTTGCAGGGATAGAACCAGTCAACTCATTTGTGTCTAATGACAAAAACAGTAGTTTCTGAAGATAGCCTAGTTCCATTGGTATCTCTCCTGTCAAGAGGGGGAAATATGTGAGTTGACATGTTAGAACTTGAGAACGTAAAGATATGGCACCTGGGCTTAACTCAATCCCAAAAGCTAGCTCATGAACGAGAATTGCCCAAGTTCATATAAGCAGACCACATGTTCATTCCCAACAAATGTGGGACTTTTAACCACTCTAACAACCCCTTCTTGCCTAGGCCTAACTGGAGTGAATATTGGGAGTCCAAACGAGAATGGACGTGGCTCTGATACCATGTATGATATGACACATGGGCCTAACTCTCCTCCAAAAGTTAGTTCATGTGGAGAGGATGCCGAATCTTTACATGGTATCTGGGTCAGGCCATCCCTTTTGGGCTGTCGGTCCACGCTCCAGTTGGACCTGGGTGTGAAAGGGGTGTTAGAGTAGCTAAAAGTCCCACATGTGGGGTCCATCCCATGAATTTTTTTTTGGGTCAACAATTGCGGCTGCAATTGTTGTAAAGAAAATACAACTGAATTTGTTTGTCAACAATAGTTGCAAACTTTTCTTTTGTCAACAAAGTTTGCAGCAATGCAAATTTTTCGGTGGCATGAGTTTTGAATAGTGCAATGCAATTGCATCTATAAAAGGAGCTCTTCAGCTCCTCATTTGAGACACCAATTCACAGAGAAGTAAAATATATAGAGAGCTGTGAGGTTTCCATAGACTATAAAAGAAAAATAGTCTGTGAAGAAAAATAGAGTGTGAGTGATATTTTAGTTTAGTAAGGTGGAAATCAAAAGAGTGTTATTCCTTTTGAGTGTGTAGTAGTCACTTTGAGTATTGTATTCGTGACTACACGGTGTAAAATTCCTTACTATAGTGATATCAGTTGCTCCTCTTGGCCCGTGGTTTTTCCCTTGTTTAGAAGGGTTTCCACGTAAAATTCTTGGTGTCATTATTTTCCTATTTTATTTCCATTACTTTTACCATATATATTTTGTGCTTGTCTGCGTTTTTCCCAACAAACTGATATCAGAGCCAAGGTTTTATCTGAGTATGCTCTGTGGTTGCAGCACAGTCTGAACTTCCACATCAGAAAAGATTTACTTTGGTTTGCAATATCTATATTTTTTGGGGATAAACAATGGAAGCCAACACAAGTAGAATGGTTACTTTAAATGGTGTTAATTATGCCATTTGGAAGGAAAAAATGGAAGATCTGCTTTATGTCAAGAATTTTTATCAACCAGTCTTTGCTACTGTAAAGCCTGATAATAAAACAGATGAAGAGTGAAATTTGTTGCATAGACAGGTTTGTGGATTCATTAGGCAATGGGTTGACGATAATGTGTTGAACCATATTTCTGGGGAAACACGTGCTCGAACCCTATGGTAGCATCTTGAAAGTTTGTATGCTCGGAAAATTGGCAACAATAAAATGTTCTTAATAAAGCAGATGTTGAGTTTAAAGTATCATAATGGTTCTCCGATGACAGACCATCTGAATAATTTTCAGGGGATCATGAACCAGTTATCTGCTATGGGCATTAAATTTGATGAAGAAATTCAAGGCTTGCTTCTACTTGGTTCCCTACCAGACTCTTGGGAAACATTTAGAACTTCATTGTCAAATTCTGCTCCGGATGGTGTGATCTCAATGGATTCTGCCAAGAGTAGTGTCTTGAACGAAAAGATGAGAAGAAAATCTCAAGGTTCTTCTTCGTCGGATGTCCTGATAACTGGCTCCAGGGGGAGAAACAAAACTCGTGGTTCTCAAAATAGAGAACAAAATAGGAGCAAAATCCAGAGGCGGACTTAAGGATATTGAGTGCTATCATTGTGGCATGAAATGGCACATAAAGAAGTTCTGCAGGAAGTTGAAGAGGGAGAACAAAAACAAAGAGGAAACTAAAGAAGATGGCAATGAAAATTGCCTAGCCACCGTCACCACCGAAGATCTTGTTACTGTCCTTGATGCGGATATGATAAATATTATTTATGATGAGTCAAGCTGGGTTGTGGACACTGGTGCCGCATCTCACGTGATATCAAAGAAGGATTTTTTCTCTTCCTATACTCTTGGTGATTTTGGAACCTTGAGTATGGGTAATGAGACTATTTCTAAGGTGGTTGGTATTGGTACAATTTGTTTGAAAACTAGTGTTGAAACTAAACTAGTTTTGAACAATGTGAAACATGCTCCTGATGTTCGTCTGCACCTGATTTCTGTTGGTGTTTTGAATGATGAAGGATATGTTAGTACCAACGGTGATGGAAAATGGAAACTCATTAAGGGTTCCTTGGTTGTGGCTCGTGGTAACAAACGTCATGGTCTATACTGGACTACGGCTTCTGCTTGTGTTGATATGGTGAATGTAGTTGAGAGCGATAACTCTTCAACGTTATGGCACAAGAGGCTTAGCCACATCAGCGAGAAAGGACTTAATGTTCTAGCCAAAAAGAAATTATTGTTAAATTTCAAAAGTGCTAAATTAGAAAAGTGTGAGCACTGCTTGGCTGGTAAACAAAATAGAGTTTCTTTTAAGTTCTACCCCCCTTCAAGAAAGACAAAGTTGCTTGAATTGGTGCACTCTGATTTGTGCCGTCCAGTGAAGACAAAGACATTGGGTGGTGCATTCTACTTTGTCACTTTTATTGACAACTGCTCGAGAAAACTTTGGGTCTATGTCTTGAAGACTAAAGACCAAGTGTTAGGTGTCTTCAAGCAGTTTCAGGCTTCAGTTGAAAGAGAAACTGGAAAGAAATTGAAATGTATTCGTACTGATAATAGTGGTGAATATTGTGGACCATTTGACGAATACTGCAAGCATCAAGGCATTAGACACCAGAAGACTCCTCCTAAGACTCCTCAGCTTAATTGTTTGGCTGAAAGGATGAACAGGACCTTGATGGAAAGAGTTAGATGTTTGCTTTCTGAAGCAAAGTTGTTGAACTCATTTTGGGGTGAGGCTTTATTGACTGCTGCACATGTTATTAATATGTCTCTTGTTGTTGCTTTGCAAAGTGATGTACCAAATAGTGTTTGGTATGGAAAAGATATTTCTTATGACCATTTGAGAGTATTTGGTTGCAAAGCTTTTGTACATGTGCCCAAAGATGAGAGGTCAAAGTTAGATGCCAAGACAAGACAGTGTATCTTTGTTGGATATGGCCTTGATGAATTTGGTTATAGGCTATATGATCCAATTGAGAAGAAACTTGTGAGAAGCCGTGATATTATTTTCATGGAGAATCAAACAATTGAAGATATTGAAGAAGCGGAGAAGCTAGAATCTTCAAGGTTTGATGGCATAGTTCATCTAGATGAAGTTCCTCACACAAGTATGCATGATATTGGGCTTGATGATCATGGTGACGCCCATAATCATGTATCGAATCAACATGTTGATGTTGATAATAACAATGATATTGTTATTGATGATCCTCCTGCTCATGAAGTTGTGGACGAATCAAATATTCCATTTAGGAGGTCTACAAGACAACGGGTTCCTTCCTCTCGTTATTTACCCAATGAGTATGTGTTACTCACTGACGGGGGAGAACCTGAATGTTACGAGGAGGCCATGGAAGATGAGCACAAGGATCAATGGATTGAAGCCATGCAAGATGAGATGAAATCTTTGCATGAGAACCACACTTATGAGTTGGTAAAATTGTCCAAGGGCATGAGATCTTTGAAGAACAAGTGGGTGTTCAAAGTTAAAGTTGAAGAACACAACTTGAAGCCAAGGTACAAAGCTAGATTGGTTGTTAAGGGATTTGGTCAAAGGAAGGGTATTGACTTTGACGAGATATTTTATCCTGTTGTGAAAATGTCCTCGATTCGTACAGTTCTTGGTTTTGGCTGCTAGTCTTAATTTAGAGATTGAGCAGATAGATGTGAAGACGACTTTCCTTCACGGTGACCTAGAAGAAGAAATTTATATGGAACAACCTGAAGGCTTCAAAGTAGAAGGCAAAGAAAATTTTGTGTGCAAACTCAGAAAGAGTCTTTATGGCTTAAAGCAAGCTCCTAGACAGTGGTATAAGAAGTTTGAATCTGTTATGGGGGAGCAAGGCTATAAGAAGACTTATTCAGATCATTGTGTATTTGTACAAAAATTTTCTGACAATGATTTTATCATCCTTTTGTTATATGTGGATGATATGTTGATTGTGGGCAAGAATACTTCCAAGATTGACGACTTGAAGAAAGAGTTGCGTAAGTCTTTTGCTATGAAAGATTTGGGTCATGCCAAGCAAATTTTGGGCATGAGATTACTCGTCTCAGAGATGAAAGGAAGATTTAATTGTCACAGAAGAAGTACATTGAACGTGTACTAAAGCGCTTCAATATGAAAAGTGCTAAGCCTGTTAGTACACCTCTTGCTGGTCATATGAAGTTGAGCAAGAAGATGTGTCCTACAGTTAGGGAGGAAAAAGAGAGCATGGCCAAAGTTCCATATTTCTCCGTCGTCGGAAGTCTAATGTATGCAATGGTATGCACTAGACCTGATATTGCTCACGCAGTTGGTGTTGTCAGCAGATTTCTCGACAATCCGGGAAAAGAGCATTGGGAAGCTGTGAAGTGGATACTCAGGTATCTTAAAGGAAGCTCAGATGAATTCGCTTGTGTTTTGGATCATCGGATCCAATCTTGAAGGGCTATACAGATGCTGATATGGCAGGTGACCTTGATAACAGAAAATCCACTACTGGATATTTGTTTACTTTTTCAGGGGGAGCTATATCATGGCAGTCGAAGTTGCAGAAGTGTGTTGCACTATCTACAACTGAAGCTGAGTATATTGCGGCTACTGAAGCTGGCAAGGAAATGATATGGCTAAAGTGATTTCTACAAGAACTTGAATTGCAACAGATGGAGTATGTTGTCTATTGTGACAATCAGAGTGCAATAGACTTGAGCAAGAACTCCATGTACCATGCAAGAACAAAACACATCGACGTCAGATATCATTGGATTCGTGAGAAAGTGGAGAGTGAATCATTTCACGTCAAAAAGGTACACACAAGTAAAAATCCTGCAGATATGCTGACCAAGACGATATCGAAAGACAAGTTCGAGTTATGCAAAGAACTTGTTGGCATGAGCTCTCTCTGAGAAGATGAAGATACCTCTCTCTAGTACATGGGACTGGAGGGGGAGATTTGTGGGTCCATCCCATGAATTTTTTTTTTGGGTCAACAATTGCGGCTGCAATTGTTGTAAAGAAAATACAGCTGAATTTGTTTGTCAACAATAGCTGCAAACTTTTCTTTTGTCAACAAAGTTTGCAGCAATGCAAATTTTTCGGTGGCATGAGTTTTGAATAGTGCAATGCAATTGCATCTATAAAAGGAACTCTTCAGCTCCTCATTTGAGACACCAATTCACAGAGAAGTAAAATATATAGAGAGCTGTGAGGTTTCCATAGACTATAAAAGAAAAATAGTCTGTGAAGAAAAATAGAGTGTGAGCGATATTTTAGTTTAGTAAGGTGGGAATCAAAAGAGTGTTATTCCTTTTGAGTGTGTAGTAGTCACTTTGAGTATTGTATTCGTGACTATATGGTGTAAAATTCCTTACTATAGTGATATCAGTTGCTCCTCTTGGCCCGTGGTTTTTCCCTTATTTAGAAGGGTTTCCACGTTAAATTCTTGGTGTCATTATTTTCCCATTTTATTTCCATTACTTTTACCATATATATTTTGTGCTTGTCCGCGTTTTTCCCAACACCACATTGTTTGGGGAATAGGCAGGTGGTCAGATTATATGGAATTGGGCAATTCTCCCCTCATGAGCTAGTTTTTGGGGTTGAGTTAGGCTCATGTGTCATATATTTACATAAACACTTCAGATTCTTTGTTACACAACAATTACCTGAAAGCCTGTTTCTTGTAAATCCTAGGTTCTGCAGTTCTGACATATTAGAAATGCTTGCTGGAATCTCTCCTGTCAAGTGAGGAAAATACATGATTAGTACCAATTTGGCGGAAGATAAAAATGAAAGAAATTTCAGAGTTCGTGGAAGTTAGTATCATAATACCTTCCAGATGCAGAGTTCCAAGGTATAAGCTTGTAAGTGCCGTTAAATTGCCTATCTCTCTTGGTACAGTTCCAGTGAGCTCATTTCTAGATAATGACAAGATTTGGAGCTTTCTGCATTTTCCTATGTTTGGTGGAATAACGCCATGTATGTGATTGGCTGAGAGGTGAAGCTCTTCTAAGTTTGGAAGATGGTCACATATAGTTGCCGGAAGCTTACCCGTAAGATTATTGTAGGTGAGACCAATCTTTTTCATTGTTGTAATGTTAAAGATTGATGGTGGTATAGAGCCAGTAAGCTGGTTATTTTCCAGATTGAACAAAGTCATGTGATGAAGATCACCGAGTTCTTGAGGGATCTCTCCTTCAAGAAATTTTTTGGATATATCCAACACTTGCAGCTGTGTAATATTGGAAAGGGAAGATGGGATTTCACTGAAAAATTGGTTGCTCGAAAGATGCACGATGCGAAGGTTTGGTAACAGACTTAGAAATGTTGGAATGGCACCAGTAAAGTTATTACTTCTGACCGAGAACAGTTTCAACCTCCGCAAATAAGCCAACTCTTTTGGCAACTCTCCATGGAAAGTGTTGTTGTCGATTATAATGGAAACGAGAAATGAGAGGTTTCCAAGGTGTGGAGGAATGGTACCATAAAGTTGCATGTTAGAAATGTCTAAAGCTGCAACTCTATGGTGTCGGGAGGTACAAGTGATGCCAATCCAGCTGCAAACTGGTCTGGAAGAAGACCAGTTGGTTGCTAAGATATTGTTAGGATCAAAAGAAGAAATGTGCGATTTGAAGGCAAGAAGAGCAGCTTCATCAGTACTAATATTGGGAATAGTAGATAGTGCAGTATGGAGCAGAATGAAAACCGCAAGAGCAAAGAGAAGATCGCAACTTCTTCTCATAACTATAACACAATTTTAACTCTTTTTCCTTATTGAGCTAACCAAGAATGGACAAGGCAAATGATCTATTTAATTGAGTATTTTTTTGGTGAAGACTTAGAGAGTGTCAATTTTCAGTACTCAAGTTGTGTTAGTGAAATTAGTCAATGGAAATAATATTCATTCATTGTTCAAAGGGGATGGATAAGAGGAAATTTCTCTGCTTTTCTACTTTTAGTTTGTTGACAATTCCTCCTCCAATACTTTTCTTTTTCCTTTTGCTTTGACTATTTTGAATTCATGGAAATTTTGCCATTTCTATGACATGAAAAATTGAGAAATATCATTTGCCGTATGTAGGCTTTTTCTGAGTGTTTTTAGTATAGACTAAGTTAAGGTATAACTTTGCGGATTGTGAAATTGAACTAAGTTATGTAGGAACTTTTAGGTTATGAACTTCTTTTAAGGCATAACGTTCTGAACTCTTTTTTTTTTCTTCTTACCCTATTCATACCCTGTACCCAACCCTCCCCATTCAAAAAAAAAATAAAAATTTACGCCACCCCCACCCAGGCCACCACCGAAATTGTTTTTGAAAAATATTTCAAATTTTAAAAATCTCATTTTTATGTCACCCTTACCCCTACCCCACCCCCTAGCCGCCACCCCCAGGCCATCCCCTTAATTATTTTTTAAAAAAATTACTTTTGGAAAATATTTCAAATTTAATTTTTTTTCCTTTTTACGCCACCCCTCCCCCCCCCCCCCCCCCCCACGCTCCTCCCAGGCCATTCCCGTTGAAAAAACTTTTTAAGAATAAATAATTATTTTTGGGAAATATTTCAATTTAAAAGATTTTCATTTTTTATGCCACCCTCATCCCCATTCCTACCCCCGTGCCATCCCCACCCAGGCCACCACCATAAAAAAAAATTAAAAAATTGTTTTTGAAAAATATTTTAAATTTTAATAAATTTCATTTTTATGCCAGCCCCCCCCCCCCCCAAATCAAAACTTTCATATATAGCAAGCATAAAAATCATATTTGTATGTTATAACTATAGTTTGCATAATTGCGCTCCATAGCAAATTTTATGTTTACTATGGAGCTTTTGATTTGTATAATTCGCTACAAACATCCAATTTTATACAAATTGTTCAGTTTTGTATTAATTCATTTATACATTGTAATTTGTATAATGAGATCTGTATTTGTATAATTATAAGTGTATAAGACGAAAATATATGTATTTGTATATACACTTTTCTCTCGCTTTATACAAACACAAACGCATTTTATATCGAAATGTATAAAATGGTTAATTGTATACCGAAAATGGCTAATTGTATACCGAAAATGATGGAAAAAAAAGGGGATGTTTGCTGCGAATTACAATTAAAATAAACTATGGCTATAACATTTCATTTGAATTAATAGTTTGCTATTTCATACAATTTTCCCTATTAACAATTGAAAAATGTAGAAGTTCAGAAAATTTAATAAACGAAGTAAGGCATGTTTGGATGGACTTATAAAAAGTAATATACAAGTCAAAAGTTAAAAGTCATAAGTAGATGATACTCTATTTTTGACTTATTTTAAAACTTTTTTGACCTAAAAGTAAATGCTTAAAAACACGTTTTAACCTTTCCAAACACCTCCACAATAAAAAAAAATGTTTAAAAGTAAAGAAATACTTATAAAAAAAAGAGTTAATCCAAACAAGCACTAAATCATACGACAATTAGTTTCTATCTTTTTTTGTTTTGTTTTTTTCACTGTGTAAAAATGAGGCGAAGCCTCTAAAATTTATAATCACTAATAGGTGCAAAAGGAATAATTTCCTAAAAAAAAATCAATTAATCATTCCTACAAATGATTTGTATCAACAAATATAACAGATACAATTGTATTCATTGACACAAATCAATTGTATCAAGTGTATTCGTGATACGATTATCGATTGATATATAAATCAATTATATATATCTTGCTTCTCTCCTCCCTCTCCCAATTTCGCTCGTCTCCTTCCTCCTTTGAACATGTAGCTACATTTTTATACAATTGTATTTATCGATATAAATATTGATTAGATATACAAAATAATTGTATTTCTCTCGCCTTTTGCCAATCTCTCCTAGATATCGCTTCTTCTTCTAATATGTAGCTACAAATGGTAATTAATCAAACTATAATTATACAAATCTAACTAAGACCAAACTATAATTATTTTTTATAGTTCCTCCTTTCTTTTATACTATATAACGAGGTAAGGGCCACTAGAGCCATTCTTGTATGGGCTATAATTATAGATCTCTAACCAAGACCAAACTATAATTATTTTTGATAGTTCTTCCTTTCTTTTATGCTATATAACAAGGTAAGGGCCGCTAGAGCCGTTCTAGTATGGGCTATAATTATAGATCTCTAACTAAGACCAAATTATAATTATTTTTGATAGTTCCTCCTTTCTTTTATGCTATATAACGATTAACGAGGTAAGGGCCACTAGAGCCGTTCTAGTATGGCTATACCCATATGTTTAGTATGTTTTATAAGAAAATTAATTTTGATGCCAGCCAAGAAAATGGTGTACATAATATTTTAAAATTTTGATTTTGATTGAGTTGCACGATAATTAAATCTCATATAAGTGGTTGACCAAAAAGTATTTTATTATATTTTGTTTTGTTTTTTTTTCCTATAAAAATGTGAGTATTTATATATATAAAGGTTCCAAGATAGAAGAACATATACACAACTAAATTTAACATCCTCTTTTTTCTTTTTCAAAAGTTTTTCTATCAAAATGTGTTAAAAAAATTGAGATTAAGTGATGGAAGAAACTTAGCTTACAAAGAGAGAGGTGTTGCTAAGGAAAAATCCAATTATAGAATAATATTTGTTCATGGCTTTGATAGCTCCAAAAAAAGGAAATTTCTTGCACCCCAGGTTGGTATATCCTCCTCCATAATTTACTCTATGGGTGTGTGTTCGGTATGTAAGAAAATATTTTCTTGAAAAATAAGTGATTTAAAACAAAAATTATGTTTGATAAGTTTATGGATAGTTTAAGTAAATATTATGAGACGGGGTGGACAGTAGGGTTGGATCCATCCTTATAACCCGAGTTCATATGAATTCTTCGATGTAGAGTATAAATTTGTGTGAACTCAATAATTTTGAAGTGGTGCATAAATTATGTGTAAGAATTCGGGAAAATGCACAAGTACCCCCCCAACCTATGCCCGAAATCTCAGATACACACTTATACTATACTAAGGTCCTATTACCCCCCTCCCCCCCCCCCCCCGAACGTATTTTATAAATAATTTTCTACCCCTTTTCGGCCTATGTGGCACTATCTTGTGGGCGCAGCGCGTGTTGACAATTTTTCAAGGATAGTGCCACGTAGGCCGAAAAGGGGTAGAAAATTATTTATAAAATAAGTTCAGGGAGGTACTAGGACCTTAGTATAGTATAAGTGTGTCTCTGAGATTTCGGGCATAGGTTGGGGGGGTACTAATGCATTTTCCCGTAAGAATTCACTAAATTTACAACAGACAGTTAATATGAACTTACAACTTTAAAAATAAATGAGTCTAATGCTAAAAAATGTTAAAGATTAATCCATTGAGCTTAATTTCTGAATTTGGGTGTGCGATGGGATTTGGGATGAGGAGGAGACAATCAATTTAGAATATCACTTGCGGAATTTGTGTTCCCTCCTTTTATTATAATGGATTTTAAGAATATTTTCATTTGTTTCTTGAAATTGTGAACATGAAATGATGAACAAAATGGGGATATATTTAGTTCAATATGATAGAACTGGATATGGGAAAGTAACCCAAACCCAAATGGATCCCAAAGGAGTGAAGCATGTGACTATCACGCCCCGAGCCTACACCCTGGGTAGGACTGGCATTAGAGAACCATTGCTGGCCCCAAGCGAACCCTTGGCCTAGCTTAAATCTTAGTGGAAGACTTACTCATGATAAAATACTTTAAAAAGTAAACTGAACTGCTCAATAAATAACTTAGAATCTATAAAGAACATTCACTATCCAAAATGGCACTCAAGTCTCAATCATTAAAACAAGAAATGGGAAGACTCAAGAACTAACATCAACTACTGTCTATGAAGCCTCTAATAGCTGAGATGGACGTCGGGACAAAACCCACGACATTCTAATGAATTAAAATGATAAAGTAATGAAAAAGGGATCCTCCGGAAGCAATGAGGCTCACCAACAACTCTAAAGCTCAATTGAATTAACGATGCGCTGGATGCTGACCCTGGTTTCTTGTGTCTGCATCATAAAATGATGCAGGCCAAAAGGCATGAGTACATTGAATGTACGAGTATGCGAGGGGAATACTAAAACATAACGTAAGCTTGAAAAGAATATGAAAGGAACACTTACCTTGGCTTTACTCAACTCATGAATAACTTAACTCAATATAAAGCAATAATACACATGCAATATATCAAAAGCTTTTTAAAATAGTAGAAAGCAACTCAGTTTGTTAAAGA